GCCCCCGCGGCGCGGCCCGGCTCCGGCCCGGCCCCCGCGGCCCGGCTCCGGGTCGGACTCAAGCCCGGCAACCCCGGCCGGAGCACGGCTCAATTCCTGGGCCCCGCTCTTGCTAAAGCCGGCCCTGCGTGTGCCAAAGGTGGCACGTGAGCTGATTTTCAGAGGCACTCACACTGCCCGGGTCCTGGCCACTGGTCTGGGGGGCTCTGCATTTTAATTTAATTTTAAATGAAGCTTCTTAAACATTTTTAAAATCTTATTTACTTTACATACAACAATAGTTTAGTTATATATTATAGACTTATAGAAAGAGACCTTCTAAAAACATTAAAATGTATTACTGGCACACGAAACCTTAAATGAGAATGAATAAATGAAGACTTGGCACAGCACTTCTGAAAGATTGCCGACCCCTGATATAGATGCTCAGAACTTCTAACAAATCAGGACACACACACACACACACACACACACACACACACACACACACACACAGAGGGAGGCATAAGGAGAAAGAAACACAACCTAGCTATGGGTTTAGGTGCCTAAAAGTTTGAAAAGTTCAGCCTGTGCCTATGTGTATTGCATATCACTTGTTTTACCAGGCTTTCATGCCTTTACCACTGCTTTAGAAATGCAAGTTTTTAAAAGCACAAAATGAAGGAAAATTAATTATTCTGATGACACTATCTGCATGTTAAAGTAACAAAGATCAGTAAGGAAGGAAAATAAATGACATTCAAATTGATATTAATTATTTATTGTGTAAAATGCCATGAGGTATAAAATTATGTATTATATTTTTAATTGACAAAACAATTTAAAATTTTGCTCCAGAACCACAAAGTTTTAAATACCAGATGTAGTGGCCAATTTTCACAATTTTATCATGATTCTTCCAATATTCTTTTCTTAAAGCCCTAGATCTGGAGTCATGCGATTATGTGAAAACATCAGCATTCTTTTTTTTTGTTTAAAGATACATTTCTGGCACCTCTGGATGCACAAGAACCAGAAGGAAATGAAGAGAACCCAGCTATTTTTTTTATTTAAATTTAATTTTAAAAATGCTATGATTTACACTCAATCTCATCTTTTTGAACATTCAGGATGGATGGTACCATAGCTGCCCCATAACATAGAGGGATTCTAGTTTGCCATTAATGAGAAGCAGTAGCACAGGAATATAGAAGAAGAACACAGTAGACAGCCGGACAGCTAGCAAAACAACACAATGAGAAAGCCAAACATAACAGATAGATGTTCATGGTGATGAGAGACTGAAGATTTAAGCAAGGTTCTTTTATTTTAAAAGATGCCCTGTATTCTGTACACAACTGGCACAGACCATTTCAAAGTTTTTAGACACTGAATGCGGAGAACGGGTGTAACCATGCACACACTCAAAGCTCTATAACCACAGAAGAGGGTTAATACCATAAACAACAGTTATCAGATTATGAAGTGCAAGTCAGGCCAAAAATCCAAGCAGAGAAGAGTCAGAACCAAAATGTCAGATTAAACACCCACAAATTTCTATTAAATTTTGCAACTGATCACTAATTTTTTTGGCGCGGGGAGTCAAAATACAGATCCATATCTGATCCAAGTGCCCTCGTTTCAAAAATCTTGAATGGACATTAACATTACTATCCTCTACCTATATGGTAATGATCATGATTTACATCTCTATGATGCCTTTCATTCAAAAGAATCCAAAAATTGCTTCCCAAACTGAAATCATTTCCACTCACCTTTGTGAAATACAGGCAGTTTTGCTATACGCATGACTGGCACAGGACTTGTTTCCAACTACATAATCCCTTTGTTACAGGCTCCACCCCAACAACGATGCACAGCAGTGTTCTCTGAAATGCCAGCAGTTCAAAAAAGGTTGTACCATATATGTGGTGCAACACTATGTGGTTGTTTTGCATCACATTCCTAAAGAAGTCAATTAAACAGCAGGCAAGCAGTTAAAGCAGCATTTTGAATTTTCCCTTTAATAATTTGTTTGGTAGATAATCTTCCAGCCAGCAGTATATATTTTTGAAATTGCATCAAAAGATTTTTTTTTAAAAGAAAAACCTAATTTAGCACAGTTTTTAAGTAAATATTGATGTGTAAGGTCACCAGAACAAATCTTTTAAAAAGTGGAGGAATTCTATTGGACAAGACTACAGCACTCTACCTTTGTATAAATAAGTATTTAATAGAGATTGGCTCAACCAAAATCCTAAATCTAAATATCTCAAAATTTGGAAGTAAATTAAATTCAAACCTATTGCTAAATTTTTCAAATGGTCTTTTGTCTTTGTAATGGACCAAACTAAAACCCCAAAGTGAACTCATTACTTGAGACCCCCTCTAACATTTGGATAGCAAGAGATGTGCCAGTCCTAAAAAGTGCATATCTAGGAAGCATCACAATACCCTTTTTACGAAGTTTACAAAAAGCTCACATAAGCCAGATCAGTAACTTTAGCAGCAGTCAATATTCATGCTTTAGACCTTTTATGACCTTTTGTGAATTAATTAATTCCACACAGCAAAGTGCATTGCACTGTGATTCCTGGGCAATACACTAAAGAAGCAGGAAAAGCACAAGTTACACTGAATTGTTTATTTTCTATTAAAAACTAGTTACAGCGATCCAGCTTTTATGCATAGGTGGCATCTGGCTCCGGGGTAGAAGTGAGAAAGCTAAACTAAGTTTCATTTTCTGTTCCTCACTTCTCACAGATGTATATCAGTGCTAGAAAGCACAAACAGAAACTTAAGGAAATGGAAACTGGAGCAGTGCAAACCAGATAAGTCTGAATTCATGTTCAGCTAACTGAGTCACCATAGTTGTCATACACAGAAACCTGTAAAGATCATTTTTATCAGACTGATACACCCTTACAGATGTTCCCCCCAACATCAGCAAAGAACAATTCCCAACTATCATAAATGAGCTTAAATGATAGTCACCCATTGAAATACCTTGATGCCCATCTCCTTCATCACCATTACAGCACTTAGATGATACCATGTGCTTGGCAGCCAATGTTTGCAGGTCAATGTGCTTAGGAGTCTAAGTCCTTCTCCAGTAAACTTTTAGCATTGCAAAATCTCCAGAAATAGCTATTGTTGAAACCATAGTCCCACTTCCCCTGCAGTCCGGCACTGATATGCTCAGCAGTCACACTCTAGGTGTGAGAAACGGAAGGGGTGAATCAGCCCAAGAGCAGCAAAAATGGACAGTTTGTAAATTAATATAAGCCACAATGGTACAGGTTGAAAATAGAAATGAAAAAAACAAAAAGCAGGATAACTGAGGGATAGCATTCATGGGAACTTTGAATAACAAATCAAGGCAGCTTCCACAACCTCCCTAGGCAGTCTGTTCCATTGTCCTACTATTCTTACAGTTAGGAATTTTTTCCTGAGATTTAATCTAAATCTGCTATGCTGTAGTTTGAACCCATTGCCTCTTTTCCTGCCTTCTGTGGCAAGATAGAACAACTTTTCCCCATTTCCTTTATGGCAGCCTTTCAAGTATTTGAAGACCGCTATCATATCCCCCCCTTAATCTCCTCTTTTCCAAACTGAACACACCCAGTTACTTCAGCCTTTGCTCATATGGTTTGCATTCCATCCCTTTGATCATCTTTGTCACTCACCTCTGGATCCTTTCCAGTTTCTCTACATCCTTTCTATACATTGGTGACCAAAAGTACATAGTACTCCAGCTGAGGCCTAACCAGCGCCAAACAGAGCGGTACTATCACCTCCCATGACATATATGCTACACCTCTGTTAATACAACCCAAAATTGCATTTGCTTTTTTTGCAACAGCATCGCATTGTTGATTCACACTGAGGTTGTGATCCACTACAAGTCCCAGATCCTTCTCAGCAGTGCTGCTGCCAAGCCAGTTATCCCCCATTCTGTATTTGTGCATTTGTTTTTTCTTCCCTAAATATAGTACCTTATATTCGTCTTTGCTGAGTTTCATTTTGTTGTCTATAGCCCCAGTTCTCCAATTTATCAAGATCCCGTTGAATTTTAGCTGTATCCTCCAAAGTGTTTGCAACTCCCCCCAGCTTTGTGTCATCTGCAAATGTCATCAGTATGCTCTCTATTCCTACATCTAGGTCATTAATAAAGATGTTAAATAATACTGGATGCAGAACAGACCCCTGTGTAACTCTGCTCAAGACTTCCTTCCAATCTGACATCATTCCATTAATAGTTACTCATTTTTTGCTGTTGTTTAGCCAATTATGTACACATAATGGTAGTTCCACCGAGCCCGCATTTCTCCAGCTTACTTATCAGAATGTCATATGGGACTGTGTCAAAAACCTTGCTAAAGTCCAAGTATATTATATCCACTGCATTTCCCCTATCCACCAAACCAGTTACCCTGCCAAAGAAGTAAATCAAACTAGTTTGGCATGATTTGTTCTTAGTAAATCCAGGCTGGCTGCTAGTGATCACGCCTGTACATGTTCTTGTTATAACTGCCATGCAGGAGTTCTTTTGGCTTTGAGAATCATCAGGAATGCTGCAAAGGCAGCATATTCAACCCCAGGAGAAATGGGAGGGAAGGTTATTAGATCATTCAACAAATTATTGCTCTAACCAGTCAAGGAGCAGTACTGACAAACTCCAAAGACAGTCCCAGAAATTCCTCTTTAGCCAGCACATAAGATGTGCACAAACTCAAATAAGAGCTTGTGACGTTGCACTCTATATGATTTTATGAAAATATGCTAATGAGTGTGAATATAATGTAACTGGAATAGGATTCATGCAAAAGGTCTCTTGTAAGGTATCATTACAAAGCTTATAATCTACTGAGTGTGGTCATCCTATTTGTATAAATGTATCACTCTTGTATCTGAAGCTAAAAATATGAAATATAACTCTGAGGTCCTACTGTAGTTATGCAAAGTGTGGGCCATTAATGGTGGTTTGAAATCTTGATGGCTCCCATCAACCAGGAAATTGACTGTGGATGGCTCTGTTTGCTTGCAGGCCTTCCTGTGAGTCAGGCTGGGAAGAATGAGGGCTTGGAGTCTTACAGTGACATGTGATCATGTCACCTGAACTGGAATCCATCTCTAACCTGGTGCTTTTCCATTTAGAAGGAAGGGTGGGAACCCAGAGAGGGACAAAGGATTCCCACCTTGTGCAAAAGATATATAAGGGGGTGGAACAGAACAAAGGGGGTTGCAGTCATGAGAAATCCCCTAGCTACCACCTGAGCTGGAACAAAGGCTGTACCAGGGAAAAGGATTGTGCCCAGATTAGGAAGGTGTCCAGTCTGTGATAGAAGCTTATTGAAACATCTCTGAGGGTGAGATTTTATCTGTAATCATTTTCCTACTGTATTAGGCTTAGACTTGCGTATTTTATTTTATTTTGCTTAGTAATTCACTTTGTTCTGTCTGTTATTACTTGGAACGAGTTAAATCCTACTTTTTGTATTTAATAAAATCACTTTTTACTTATTAATTAACCCAGAGTATGTATTAATACCTGGGGGGGCAAACAGCTGTGCATCTCTCTCTATCGGTGTTATAGAGGTCAAACAATTTATTAGTTTACCCTGTGTAAGCTTTATACAGGGTAAAACGGATTTATTTGGGGTTTTGGACCCCATTGGGAGCTGGGTATAGGAGTGCTGGAGAAGGAGCACTTCTTAAGCGGTTTTCAGTTAAGCCTGCAGCTTTTGGGGGACGTTGTTCAGACCTGGGTCTGTGTTTGTAGCAGGCTAGTGTGTCAGGCTCAAACCAGGCAGGGCACTGAAGTCCCAAGCTGCCAGGGAAAACAGGCTCAGAAGTAGTTTCAGCAGATCAGGTGGAAGTCTCAAAGGGGGTTTCTGTGATCCAACCCATCACAGAGCTATTCTAATATTTCAAAGTTCAAACAACAGCTACAGAAACCCTCAAGTCTGCATGAATAAGGAGACCACCCACCACTGTAGAGGCAGAAAAATTCCTGATCTTAGCCCAGAGAAAGGACTCAGTTCAATTTCCTCCTGTCCCAACATGCTAGTTTCATGAAACTTCTTAAAGAGTCTCAGCTGCTTTGAAACTAATTACTTCCTGAGAGATGCGCATAATTTCCACTATCACTATAATATGTACAAGACCTGAGGATAGAACAGGTACCACAGAAAAGCCACACCATATATTTTCATTAAGCTTCAGAATGTACCAGTTTAACTAGCAGAATACTAAGAGATCTACAACTGAGTACAGGACTACTATACCAAATTACTGATATTCACTTTGGGCCTGGGTTCTAGGAGCAGAGGCAACTCCTGGATGGAGCTAAGTGCTTTTAACTGAGTTTGAGACTTGAGGGTGCTTCAGCATCTCCCACCATCAAGCCCATAGCTTTCACTCAGATTGCAATAGTTTCAAGGAGCAACTGATTCGGTAAAATGTGAGCTAATCTTGTAATAGAAAAACTTACTAACACAAAGCATAGTAAAAGTGACTGGAATTATTAATTATTAAATTTATTATCCATACAGTACCCAAAACTTGCTTGGTGCTTTATAGTCAATAAAATAGACACTGCTCCTACACTGAAGAACTTACCATCCAATTGTGGGCTTCGGGCAACAGGTAGCAGTGACAAAGTTGTGCATGGACTGCTGGAGGTTGGTTATTGCATCCTGGAAGGTGTTAATGGATGTCATTAAGCAGCTCTTTGATATTCAATCATAGATCTTGTTAAAGCCAATGGATGTGCTAAGCACATGAAAGGAGCATTTAAGCCCCTTTACCAGTGATATAGCTAGAAACAATAGAGCAAGACCTGATTAGAAGTTAACAACAGGGCCAAGAGGTTCCAGGATCACAAATATGGAGGCTAGGGGAATGTTTGGGAAGTTATGTGTGTGCGTGAGACAGACAAAAAAGTGAGCAGAGAGAGAAGCAGTTGTGAGCATGGACCTGAGAAGGAAAAGAGTGTAAGAACCTGCAGGAATGGAACCTGGGATCATGGGAATTCTGTGCTGCTGATGCCACCATATCTCCACTGGAGGTGTAGGGTGGGCTCCCACAGGAGAACCTTGTGAGGCTGGGCTTGGCAGGAAATGCCACCCAGCAGGACCTGAGTGGCAGACCATCGTTGCTACTGATTGGCTGGTACCAGTACTTAAATCAGGAAGCCATGACAGGAAGCTGTCTAAGCAACAACATAAACTGCCTGCCTGTTTCCAATCCAGACCTTGCTTGCAATAGACCCTAGACTCTGCCTTCTGACCCTGGTTTGTCTTTCTTTGGCTTTGCTCTTCCATTGCTGTCTGTAACCTGGTGCCTCACCCTGCTCGCCTGGTAAGCTAAACCTGACTGCCTCCTGATGCCTGAACCTTGGTTTGCCCTCTGGCCTCCCAGTACCTGACTCGGCCTGACTCCTGCTCCGACCACTAGGTCTGATTGCCCTCATCCTGGTCATGACAAAAAGAGAGACAGCTTCTGGTGATACAGAACTGATTGGAGGAGCAGACTTGAAAATTAGGAGCACAGAAACAGCCTGCTGTTTGTTTCTACTGTGCTCAATTTGTGTATTATGTTTTTGCTATATACACAATTTTTTTACTGTCACCATTTCAATGATTCCCACTGATAGTATTTGCTACATTAAATATACATTCATAATAGTATGTTACAGATATTCAGCTGTACAGTATTTTACATCATGAGCATGAATGGTCTTTACGCTCTAATGCAGTCAATAAAATATCACAGGAACTTGAAAGTAAAGAAGTTGTAAATTAGTTATTAGTAGTTCAAAGCAGTTTCACGTCTTCTAGAAAAAAATAATACTGTCACATTCTTGCACTTATTTTCTTGGATGTAAACTTAGATATCCATCTGAAAGAGCTACAGATAATTCTTGTCTAATCGCAGTAACCTTTTCTTCTGTCTATCTTACAAAATAAATGGAGAACCCTTTCCAAAGTTTTAGCCTAAAATCTATCTCAAAGAACTGAATAATAAGGGTCAAAAAACAAAATTAAAGTCAGTATTGGAAGGAAAAACTGGGTTGGGGAAGAATTCGCCCTATAGTTTCCTACAATTGTCATAATGTAGCCAAGAGAAAAATATATATTTTTAGTTGGAGTTTTTTCCCATAGCTAAAAAGGTATGATCTTATGAATTAAGATAATTGTATGTTTAACCATAGAGGCATTTCTAAGATCATAAAGAGATCTCAGTT